CTTAAATCAAGGATGATGATCTGCTATGTGCAATGCTGTTAGTAGTAATAATACTAATGGCCCCGAGACTGAAAGAGCCATTGTCTAGGCTCATGAAAAGCACTGGTCACACATAGACAAGATAGTATCCTTAAGAAACACGGTTTGCACACAGAGCAGTGGTTTCAGCTCATTTCCAGCTGTTGTCCAGGGATGCCAGGTGAAAACATGGCCAATTGCAAGGAGAAACCCAAATCCTCCATATTTGAACAGGTAGCACTCACCCAGGCACTTCTTCACTTCAGCATGGAATAAACAGCATGTATGGCCCATGCTGTGTCCCCAAGCCGTGTGCAAATTTCATTTCCTATAACAGGGTTAATGTACCAAAATCCTTACAAATTGAGTTTGAAAACTGTGCATAATATTAGAAATAGCACAATAAAGCAACATTCAAATTTGACTGTGCTGACAACACAGCTTCTTTTATGCACAGCATGTTATGTTGTGTCCTGAAACATGCTCAGAAAGCAGGGAGAACATCTGCAGTTCTTATCCATTAATATTTCTGCAGTACATCTACTGATGCCATGCTGTGCATGTGCAAAATGATCCAAAAAATGAGTATATAGCAACAATCTCTAACCAGCAACCAGTTACCTATGGCCTTAGCCAGATTCAGTCCAGACTGTCCTGGCCCCACAGCCCTGCCCCAGCTCCTCCTGCAGCTCCTGTGGGCCTTCGCCGGCTTGGAGTGGCAGCAATGGGATCATGCCCTTTAGAGAAGGGAGAAACTCCAGCAAGTTGTCTCCCCTTCATCCCCCACATCATGGTGGGGACACGGGAAATGGAGGAGGAGACACCGATGTTGGTTGGAGGAAAACAGAACACAGATGCAGCTCAGAAATGCTTGTTTGTTTTCACACCACCCACCCACTCGGTGATCCCATGGCTGGGACGTACCCTGCCTGCTCCCCACACCTTGCCTGATGGGCCTCTGTGTCCCCTGGGACAAGTGCCAGCATAGGGTGGTGTGTAACAGCCTCTCTTGCTGTTCTGAGTCAGAACCTGGAATGCTGTAAGCACAGGTCAGCCAGTCCCTGCTTCCAGCATAGTTATGAACGGAGAAATTTGGGGTCTTTTTTTTTTTTTTAGTCTCTATTCGAAGGAACTTACCGCAGATTTAGCTGTTCCAAAACTGTGCCGTGACATTTGTCACAGCCTGGAGAGGGTCGCACAAGTCTTGGACCCTGTCCCCACTGCCTGTGACCGGCCACAGGAACTGGCTGGCAGCTGTCAGTGGAGATTCCTCCTCCTTGGGGCATGCTGACGTGGTGGCACGGGGCTGGCGCTGCAGGAGTGAATCAGCACCCCACGTAGGAGTGGTGCTCCCCGGACAATGGCAGGCCTGGCAACTGTACGCAGCCACTCCTTACGCTAGACAAACTTTGAAAGGAAAAGCAAACTGAGTTTATTTGACTAACTGCTTAACAAATCAGCATCTGTTTCTTGGAGGCAGAAAGGAGAAATGAGTTAATATGCCAAATAGTTTTGAGACAAAGTGATTTTTACCATTCTGATAGACCTTCAGGATTGTTTCCTGGTTCCCTCCAGGCAGCAAGCTCCCCTGTTCAGTTAGTGCCAAAGACAACTTACACCGCAGTCTGGAAGTGGGATGCAACCTTTGAGATAAACTTCATCCTTTGGTTTTGCTTTCTTTGAGATGAGCATGAACTTGCAGTGAAGTTCCCCTTTTTATCCCGCTCTCTGGATAGAGTTCTGCTCTGTGTAATTCCACCATTATTGCTTTCTAAATGTCCCTCCTCAGGTCTCAAGTTTTGATCCATGTATAGCCACAGTTGTCAAGGAATAGCCCTGGAGTGGTTCTCCTGGTTGGGCAAACCCAACCAGGCATAATACTGGGTCAGCTGCAAGTAACTATCACAGCATAATACAAATACAAATGCCTCTCCTCTTGCCAAAAGCTAGGAAAAGTTTCATCACCTCCAAGGATTATGACCTTGCATTCACATGGGTTTAATAATATCTCAATTCAAAGGTATTCATTACACAAGCTGTAAGCAAGGACAATGAATGAAGCTCATTAGCAGTTTGATACAGGCTAGATATGATGGCAGACAAACAGCCATGGGGACGAAAGTGCATTTGAAGTAGATGACTCCTAAACTCAGCATGCCAGGATGACGGACGGGACGCTCTGGCAGTGCTGGCATTCATGGTTGTTGCACTTTTGTTCCCTGCTGCCAAGCATGGCAAAGGAAAGGTTTCCCGAGTCTCTAGCTGACACTTCCTTAAAGCGTGTTCAGCCCCAGGTGCGCAAAGCAACCTCTGCTCCCAGGCAACCAGATGGCTAGCTGCAATCCAGTCACTCTAATTAACTTTAGGATTTGGTTTTTTCCCTTCTGTGCGTTGTTTCTGGGAGAAAGGGAGTTGGACAGCATGTTTGTTTATGCGAGATTGATTTGGCCTGGCAGTTCCCTGGGTTTATACTAAGAATTTTGAAGTGTCTTTGGGTTTTGTTATCACCGTAAAAGGAGGAGAAACTGAGAATCCAAGGGGATTTCTAGGATGCATCTAAAGAAGTTATGTAAGTAAGCCATATGCAGATGGGCAGCACATAAAACAAAGCTGATGGGGGCAAACTAATCTGAGGCCTTGGTTACTGTGCACTGTTGAGCCGCTGCAGTGTAGAATTCACTTTAACTGCAACTGCAACAACCACCAACCTGTAAGCAGCTCCTCTAAACCCTGTGGAGTTGCTTGCATGCATAAAGTTACACAACAAACATAAAGCAACTGTTGGATGGAAGGTTCAAGATGTCTCTCTCTGCACAGAAGAAAATCCCAACCAGCAGTATCACCTGATCTAGATTAAAAAGCAGAAGGGCATAAAGAATCTGCATTAGGAGTTAACTAAAATGTGCAGGTATAAAACTGAGAGAAAAATATTTAAGTAATAGATCAAAAGTAAGTTTACCCTGCAATCCAGAGATGTGAAACAGGTTTTACGCTTGTTAACTAGCTGTCCCTAGTAATCAAGCTGCGGCAGCATGTACATCATATTCTACTGAGAACCCCATTAAATGCCAAAGAGGCTAGTGAGTGCCAAGCTCCATCTTGCTACAGAGGACAAAAGCAGGGTCTAGAAAAGAGCAAGTAGATGGGGGGGGGTACGGGACACGACGGGACCTGTACCAGCTCACCATGTCTGAACATATGGAGGGTAGAAAGGATTAGAGAGAAAGGAAGCAGCCAAATAACAAAGGAAAAAAGATTATGGAATATTTTTTTCCTTTGGAAGTAGCAAGTCTGGAAGGCATAAAGTGCTGAAGGAGAGGAGACGCATGAGAGAAGAGGTGAAGGGGAGTAATTTTGAATCAGGATGGTCTCAAATGTAAAGGATGAAGCACATCTGTCACTGAAGGGAGATCTCTCTAGATGAAGAACTTTTAAAAAATTACTTTGAGGTCACGTTGCTTCTAACATCAGAGCATTTTACAAAGAAAGGGACAAATTACATACATCTCACAGGCTATAACTTCACTGCAGAGATAAGACAAGGGCAGAGCTGCTGCAAAAGCATGCCTGGAAAATCGCAGAGGTGCACCCTGCTATTTTGCATCAGAGATTGTTTTTTTAGTTATTAGTTGTTGAATCATATCCCAGATGAACAAGCAGAGCCCTCCCCCTGGTGGCATGTAAAAAAGACATAGCAATGATTTTTTACAGGCATGTCAATCTAAGGCTATAAATGAAATAAGGAGCATCAGACAGAACCTATTTTTTATTAGGTCAACTGATACAGCTGGGGAAAAAAAAAGACAATTTTGCAAAACACGAATACTTTTTCAGGACTTACACAGAATTATTTACTTTGAAGGCTGATACAACTTGAGAATAATTGCTGAGTTCAATTTCATGGTTAATTTATTAGACAATTTGCATGAGAAGCAGAGCATAAAACCTGTAGAATAACTTTTAGTAGCTGAGCGGGGTAATTGTAATGTGCAATAATCTCATTATTTCCACTGAGTCCTTGTCTTTTAGTGCCCCATTGAGTTTTGGTGTCTAAAATCCCTTAAAGGCAGACTGATCTGGAAAGTAAAATTCGTAACGCTACTGAACAGTAAAAATGGACTCAGTAGACAAGTTGGGTTTATCGTATACAACAATTTTCCCCAACTAATGTTCTCAAATAGCTCTTCAAAAATTATCTGTAGAAAATTACCTGTCTTGTGTTTTTTATGGGAAGTTATGGTGCGTGCCTTTTGGACAGATGTTTTTCCTTTAGATGACCAGTTTGGTGGATGAGGGGAAAGCAGTAGGTGGTGGTTATTTTGGCTTTACTAAGGCTTTCGACACTGTCTCCCATAGCATCCTCATAGACAAACTGAAGAAGTACAACCTAAATAAATGGGCAGGTCCTCACAGGTGGATAGAAAACTGGCAGAACTGCTGGGCTGAAAGGAGCTCGTCACTAGTGGAATACCCCTGGGGTTCCTAATTTAACATCTTCATTAACAACCTGGATGAACAGACAGAGTCCACTCTCAGTAAACTAGGAGATGGTACAAAACTGGGGGGAGTAGTTGATAAACAGATGGCTGTGCTGCCATTCAGAAGGACCTCAACAGGCTGGAGAAAAGAGCAGAGAGGGTTGTCAGGAAGTTCAAGGAAGGCAAATGTAAAAGTCCTTCACCTGGGGAGGAATAACCTGTGCACCAGTACAGGCTGGGGGCTGACAGTCTGGAAAGCAGCTTTGCAGAGGAGGATGTGGGATTCCAGGTGAACAAAGGGATCATGAGCCAGCAATGCGCCCTTGTGGCAAAGGCAGCCAACAGCATCCAGGGCTGCATGGGGAAAAGCGTTACCAGCAGGTCAAGAAAAGGTGGTTTTTTTCCCCCCTCTATTTTTCTTTTCAGTTCCAGTAGATAAACACTAGGATTATCCTGCCCTCAACAGTATAGGTAGTATAAGAATGGCTGAATTGTAATTACATCGGAAACCAACTGTTGTCTCTTAATTATAAAAAGGAGAAACCTTCAGCTGTGACATTCAACAGCAATAACCACTGCAACAATAACCAACAATATATTCCCCCATCCTTAAGATGGAAAGCTACACCCTTTACCACAAAACACTGTCAGCATGCTTATGTTTAAAAAGGTTTAATTTTTCACCCTGGTACAAAAATACAGTACAATGTGATGGCAAGGCATTCGCCAAAAAACATTCAAAGAATAAAAGGGGAAACCCCATAAAGCTTCAACATAACCCACCCTCACTTGATAAAACAATCAAAAGGTGAGTGCACAAGGAAGAAGTTAAATTTCTGCCCAAAGGCAAATAAAGATGAATCACACACAGTTTTACACAAAAATATGTTTGCAGAGCTACTAATTTCACATGCTACTTGGACATTCATGAAATTTATTCTACTTGGCTTAGTGGCAGAATTCATGGTTTGGGATGTCTAGAAAACACCTGGCCCAGGAACATGCCCCCTTCGTAGGAATCCCCAGTAAAAACAATGGGATCACATAATACCAGTGAGAAATGAGGGATCCAACCCTGATTGTCAAAATGTTGGCTACTTCTTGTTTTTCCAATCACACAGTTTGTCCTCAAATTATGTTTTGCCCTAGACACCTCCCTTTTAACACCAAATATTAGTGGTTGCTCAAACACACAAACCGATGTGTTTGCACATTACCTAGTTGCAAATAACCATTACAGTACAAACTGCCAGGCAGAGGAGGAGATAACACTGTAACTGATGCATGTGTGTGAACTCCAAACAGGGTTTAACCTAACATTGTTGACAGGAGAATTATGTCCCTCCAGTGCATCTACATTCTTGGTCTGTATAATCATTTCTTTTTTGACTTTTGAAGTGATGGAAAAGTATCATTCAGTGTATTCATTATAGTTCATCTCCCAGGTGTTTTTGTTTGAAAGCATCACCTGTTAGCTTCTCCTGGGCCTCCTTCATCCCTTGGACAACTGAAAGATTAGACAGAGAGAAATCAACTATTAATCTCAAGATGAAAACATCAAGGTCGACTAGTAAAGAAAGTGTTTTAAAACTACAGTTACAGAATTACAGATCTACAAATTAACCTGCGGGAAAAAAACCCAAACAAACAGTCCTGCACCCTTTTCCCAACTATTTATAGCTGGATCATGCAAATTGCATGGTTTTCCATGCCATGACTGGAGACAAAGTTTAGGTCCTATAGACACTAGAGTAGGTATTAAGGTAAATCATGATTCTGAATATGGTTCCTCCAGGCACAAGAGAACCGCTCACAATGTATCTCACAGCTCCCAGTTATGCTGTAAAGTATCATCATTTTCTCCATTTAAAAGTGAAGGTGTGTCCAGGAGCTCAGGACACACCCAGAGTTTCATCTCACTAAAAATGCACTTCCAACTACTTTGCACATACCTTGATCAGCATTGGTATAGAAATACTTGTAGCTGGGGTTTCCTTTCTCATTTATGATTTCTGGGTGGACTTTTCCACTGGGGTCTATGAAACAAGACATAAGAACAGGGAATTTAGGTGGTAACAGTAAGAACAAAATCCTGTAAGCAGATACAACAGCTGTGGATGCCTTACCCATGAAAAGGATTCTGGGAATGTAACCTCCATCAGGACTAAAGGCTTCATCCTTTGGCTCTTCATCATCCTACCAAAGCAAGACACAAGAGAAGGAACATATTAGCAAGGTATCTAACAAAACACAGCACTCATTTTAAAGAAACAAGCTATTGCCTTCAGATTCCATTTGCCCTGAGCAATTTACATCTTGAACAGACACTAGGTAACTGCAGTATCTTCCACTCTCAAAGGAAAGTTATTTTTACCTTAAAAAGTATCATTTGTGAAAATAACTGTATTTTTTTCTGTTTTGTCAATTTGCATTAAACATTCCACTTTAGTGTAGGAATGTTTAATATGTCATGAGAGAACGAATACAAATTCCCTCATTGCAGCAATGGAATGACACAAGGTACAAATTGTTAGAGACAATGGCAGAGAGCCAGGTTTATAAATACGATTAAAATAACCACGCTGAAGAAAATTCTTTTTAAAACAATCAGCTATGTCAATCAATCCTGAATACCTATTCAGGAGTGCAGGATTTACACAAAACAGGATGCAACCAGTTAAGTAGGATTCCAAATGCTTAATTATTAGTCAATAACATGGATACAAATCAGAGGGCAGCCTACCTCAAGGTTGACCATAACAAAATTATGGGCAAGTTCAGAGATCTCCTTGGATTCAGCAAACTTTGGCTTTAAAGCTAATTGGGGGGGGGGGGGGGAAGAAAAAGAAAAAAAAAAAAAGAAGAGGTGTGTAAAGACAAGATTTCAGGTTTTCAGGTCAGCATTGAAATCTCAACTTCATTCCTCCCTCTGGAGAGCCAGTACTTTTCAATAAGCAGTGAGTAAATGTAATATATATATATCAAACCGTTCAAGCCAGGCTCAGAACAGTAGGTAACTGAAGCAATCCTTGCGGGGCAGCCATGTGAGGAAGCCTGGCCAACAGATATACGTGGTCATATTTGAACCAATGGAATGGAAGCAAAAAGCTTGCTGTAAACCACTATTCTCGCTCAACTAGCTCATCCTTTAAGCTTAGCCATTATGCCCAGCTTGTTTATTTATGATACTGAAAGAGACAAAGCATCACCTTTGAAGAGCCACCAGCTGAAAGTAAGGCAATTTACATTTATTTCATGAAGATCATTAATTCTATTCCAATTTTTATAGCCAAGTGCAGGAGAAATTGCAGGCACCAGACAAGTGCAGCATTACAGCTGTTAGTTTGCTGACATTTAGGCATGGCTGGCTTTTGGCAGAGCTAACCGGTAAAGTGGTGCAATACTATACCGCTCTAAATGAAATACAAATACTGTTAGCTACATTTTGAATGCAAAGTTCATGTTTCTCATGGTTACATCATTTGTACACAAAAGTTCATTACAAATTTCAGCGAGCTCTAGTATTAAACACACTTACCTTTGCAAGCTCCACACCAAGACTTGTGGATGATAACCATAAGAGGTAAACCACTAATAGAAGAAAGAAAGAAACATGTCAAAGCTTACAGTTGAGACTGTAAAACAGATTCTATTACATATATGTTTTAACAGTCAAGACATCTACAGAGGCTAAATGCAACAGAAAATGAGAGATGTAGAGACTCTGCTGTGTTCTAAGGTTGTCTTGCAAAAAGTTTTCCCAATCTTAAAACATGTATAATAATTTATGATAACTGCCAGCCAATAACTGCTCACGTAGAGAAGGGGACTTTCTCTTTGGAAGATTTGCTCTTATTAGTTTAGATTTCCTCAGATACACAAATGGTCATGTGGTTTTTTACTGGAAATGGTTAGTGACACCAGCTGCTTGAGAGATCTCAGGATAGATTTTTGTGGCTGCTTAAGGCAATGTGGTGGATGACAGGCATACATCCATCCCTCTCCTCACTATGGTCTGTATGCTTCAGTCACCTCCTGTGACTAAGACCCTCCACTGAGCAATAATCACACAGAGTAACCCAGCAAACCCCCTGGCTGCCAGGCTAGTTTCCTACATGTTGGTAGGCTGAAACAAATCTATGACAAACGTGACAAGTACCAGGACTGAAAAGGAGGCGGCGCCTGCGTGGAACTGCAGCCTAAATAAAATGCAACACAAAGGGACGAGTTATTCTTTATTATTCTCTCTCCCCCCAAATAATTCACTGGACCTTTACTACCTATGGTACCCAGAGGTTAAGTTCCCATCGCCCCGAGATATGTTTTATTTAACCTTGTTCTTCAAAAATCCCTTTAGCATTTCACCTTCTGACAAAGTCAAGCTTACCAACTTCAACTTTTCTAAGCTCCTTTATAACACATTCAGGCTGCATTATGCGATTAGACAAAGAGGCCTTAAAGACACTACGAATTTCACATATTTTCTGTTGTTAGTGCTGGCAATCCAATTAATCCACCACTTCACTGGTCCTGACTATTTTGCATTAATTTTACTTTCTAACAAGAAAAGTGATATACCTACAGGTGACTTTTGTTGCTGTTGAGCACATCCAGGTAGTACAACACTTACCTCCACACTTTATGCACACAGACGTCCTTACTAACACTTCCGTTGTTTCTACCATCCAACAGTTGAACTGGCAAATAAACTGACTATGGCAATAAACTAAGAACAAGGAATTGGGAATCTCATCCCTTTTCTCTTACCAATAAACCCCTTAAGCTATGGAATAATACCCGAGGGAAGCTGGTAATAATGATACAGCTTCCAGAACAGTAAGAATAGCCTAAAACTAGGTGAAGGAAAGGAAGGACTCTACAGAGAACATACTATAGGGATACTTCTTGCAGGATATACCAAGCAAAGCAAACTGTAAGCTTTCTGCTAAACTCTGTTACCATATTAGGGGTGAAAAATAAAATTTTCACACACAGAAATTACAAACACCTTTGCACATAGCGGCAACTAAATTAATTACTAGCTAAACTGATGTATGAGTTTTTCTGTTGCTGTAGATAGATATGAAAGCAGTATCTGAAGATTATACCTGAATACTTAGAAGCATTCAGTTATGGCCTTCAGAACTCAGAAAGGGTGGAGAGGAAGCCATTAACATTTAGACTAGTTCAAACAGTGGTCTGCCATTTATAACTAACCAATATGTTATCATCTTTACATAGGACTCTGTTTGCAGTAAGAAGCAAGAATACACATTTCCCTAGTAAAGCTTGTATTGCATCAGCATCCTCTCCCTGATGATGAAAAAACACTTTTTTTTTCATTGTTTCCACAGTCCAATATAATTTTGCCTCTTTCTTGAGGAGAGGCTGATTTAAGTCTGTAAAATACACAGTTCTTATTATCAACAATCAGTGCTTCATTTCAGAAGAGTTTAATCATCTGGTAATCAGTGTTGCAACAACTTTTTTTTTTTTACGGTAAGAGAAATTTTCAAAGCAGATTTTAAATGGAAGTGCTCACAGTCTTGAAATACCAACTCTTAGCCAGTGAGAATTCACAGAAGTTTGAGATACTGAATGTGTTTTCTCAGCTTTATTCTCTTTACTTTGACTGGTAAAATAAACTTCTTTACATCAAAACATTTTTGTAGTCATTTCTGTTCTGCAATGCGTAAGTCCACCTAGCAGCCGGTATGTCCCCTTCCTGCCCCACTTCACAATTCCCTCCCAGGTAGCAATACACATACAATTAAAACCAAAAGCCACAATTTATTAAAATGAGGGATGAAATATCCACCAGAAAGTGAAGAGTTTATATAAGCTATATATGTGGTATAGCAAAGACTGGAATTATTTGAAACTAAGCGCAAAACTAAGTTACCAGTCACAGCTGGTACAGACTTACAGGAGAGTTTTACCCAGATGACACTGTCATTTTAGCTCATTTTTCCTATGAGAGCACTCGTTCTTGAACAATTAGTGGTTTTAAAGGCTTTTAATGATGACCTTGCGGAGAAAATACATAGGAAGTTATTTCAATAAAATAGTCCTGCAGATAAATTAAGACTTTACTCTATTTAAGGCACACGTTTTATTGTTACACCTGAAACAGAGAGATTTGAGTTTGTGAAGCCAGCAGCCTTCTGTACTGCAGAGTTTGCAAATCTATCATCTCTTGGGTCCAGTAGGATTTTTTGAAACAGTCACATACTAAAAATACAGCCTGTTCCAGTTCTGGACCTGAAGTCTCTTCTGCAGTTTGACATTATCTGGAGACATATTCTTATTCAAGATGCAGACATGCCAACACGGAGGGGAAAAGTTTT